TAGTGCAGGGGTCAGGCGTATGCTACATACACAAAGCAGAAGTCAGGTCTATGTAATGTACAGAGTGCAGTGGTCAGGTGTATGTAACTTGCACACTGCTAGGGTCAGGTGTGTGCAGGGTCCAGGGGTTCAGGGTATCGATTAGAGAACATACTGCCCAGTGTAACCGCACACAAATGATGTATTTTTCTGTCCTCCAGAACATGAATTACTGTAAGCCCAGACACTAACCCCTCACACCAGCCTTAGTACAGCAGCTCTGGTTTAGCTCTAGGACTGTTGTAGGGCTCAATAACACCAGGGACAGCAGGGGGCAGACAAGTCCCTGTCGAATTAACCCCCTGCCTGTCAATGACTGATCCAGGAATGTATGAGCTGCAAGGTGCCCAGGGAGCAGTGGTGTCACGAAGTAAATCTCATGAATCAGCCACACTACACAAGTCCTGTCCTCTCTATGCCACACAGCACAGCTCTGAGCGGCTGCCAATCCCTTGCCACATGTCTCACCCGGCTTCTCCTGGTCACTGTACCCTCTGCTCAGCCAGCCAATTCCTTGCTTTTTTTCCTTTTTTCTTCCTTTTCTCTCAATAAGCTGGGGGCAGCCCTGTGCAGGCTGTGACTTTACTTTCATTGTTGGGTTCCATGGCCCACAGGGATGAATAAATTGTCTTGGTTCTCCCCCTGCTGAACCCATGGGACCCGGGGACTTTAATTGTCTGGGGGCCACAGTCCACGAGGTTACTCTGCCGGTGCCCGAATCTAATTAAAAGGTCCCTTCGCTGCTTGCTGAACCAATGTGGCCCTGGGCGCGGTACAGAAGGACTGGCTGTATCCTTCCTAACTGTGGTTCTGATCCAGAATCACCATCTATTTCCTGGACCGATATGTTGGCTCAGAGATGACACTTCTGTAAATCCTGCTTAGTTATTGGCTGTGTTCACAAATGCCTGACTCCGATCAGGTCCTGCTGCAACCTTTCACCGTATGACGTGCGTGGGATTACTGGGGAGACTGAGGAAATGCCTCCTCCTGCCTGCAGCAGACTGATGACATCATCTCAGCCTAGGCAAAGTCACCTGACTGCAGCTCAGTGACTGTATTTTAGTGGTAAAAGGTGGAGCTTTTTTGAAACATTTTACTGTTCTATATATTGTGAAATGTTAGCAATATCTGCTTAGCGGCTGCCCCACGTACATTTACTGTGGTAGGGTGGCTGCTGTGCACTGGATCACATATCTGGTACATGATCAGCGCCTCTGGGTAAGGCTGCGCTTCCTAGCAGGGCTGTGCTGTGATTTTTTTACAGCACAAGCTGATCAGCAGGTCCCGGCCAATGATTGATCACCAGGACCTGCTGATCGGCTCTGTGATTCACAGAAGAGAGCTCTGTGTTGGCAAACAACACAGAGCTCTGTACACTGACAGGTGATCTTGCTGTTTTATTATTCCCTGCAAAGCAGGGAAAAAAACAATGAGATTGCTTAGTAAAAGCAGTACATATTACACACATTATTATTATACAGGATTTATCCCTAAACATTTTTGGGTACACATTTAACCCCTTGATTGCCCATAGTCTTAGCACTGATCACTGTATTAGTGTCACTATCGATGTCAGTTAGGGTACCCCCAGCCAGCATCAGCTAGTGTCAGATTGCTCACCACACTATCACAGTCCCACTATAAGGCTCCATGCACACGGGGTGTTTTGATAACGCTGGTAACGTTAACTGCGTAAGTCACGTTAAAAACTTTTGTAGTGTTTTTGCATTTGTGTTAGCTGCGGTTTGATGCGTTTAGCAGCATTTTTCCGCGTTTGCATTTTTTTAGCATTTTTTTTATCACCCCAAAAATTTTTTTTTTCCGGTCAAAAACAATCCAAAAATGCGAGTTTGCGGCATTTTACTGCGTTTTGCAGCGTTAGAGCATTTTTACAGACAAAAAACTCCTCTAGAAACCCACTAGTCCTGGGTTTTTTTTCCAGCCAAAAAACGTTGATTCCAGTCTATGTATACATGGACACATAGGATAACATGCTGGGGGGTTTACTAGCTGTCGAACAAAACATCAAAAGCCAAAAAACAGCCGCTGTAAAAGCGTTCAGTGTGCATGATTACCGCCATTGCTAGCATAAAAAATAAATCAAAATTCCATTATATATACCAGTTTGTAGACGCTATAACTTTCACGCAAACCAAATAATATACACTTATTGGGATTTTTTTTTTAACCAAAGAAGCAGAATACATTTTGGCCTAAATTCTTGAAGAAATTAGATTTTTTTTACATTTTTATTGGATATGTTTTATATTGGAAAGTAAAAAATATCGCTTTTTTCAAAATTTGTTGAAAATTTTCAGTCTTTTTTTGTTTATATAATAAAAAAAATTGAAAAACCCAGTGGCGATCAAATACCAAAAAAATAGAAAGCTCTATTTGTTTGGGGAAAAAAAATTATATACATTTCATTTGCGTACAGTGTTGCACAACCACACAATTGTCAGTTAAAGTAGCGCAGTGCCGAATAGCAAAAAAAAAAATGGCTTGGTCAGGAAGGGGGCAAAATCTTCCGGAGGACAAGTGGCAAATTCATGCAGACTTTTGAAGTTTTTGAAAGGTTCACTTAGCTTTTTTTTATTTTGTTAATAGATGATAGCAAATTGCAGTTCTAATTTCTATGTTGGCACATTGCATCGAAATTATTGGTTCCTGCAGCATCAGCAGCCAGGGCTACATGGTAGGTGTAAGAGGGTTACATGCAAAAAATACAGTAGTTGCAAGAAGCTAAGTAATAGGCAGGGGCAGACTGACAACTCATGGGGCCCTCGGACAATAGGGGATCATGGGGCCCCTGTGTCCTTGCCCAAAAAAAAGCCTATGAAAAAGGTACCAGGGGTATCTTATGGGGCCCCCTACTGACCCAGGGCCGTCGGGCAGTGCCCGAGTTTCCAAATGGTCAGTCCGCCCCTGGTAATAGGATAAAGGGATACAGGGAGGGTCATGTGGGTTTTTTATAGCTTCCTTGCCCCCTGCAAGTCATTGTCACCCTATGGGGTGACACCGGACCCACTCCACAAAAAGGTAAGTTGTAAAGCAAGCCGACGACCCCCGTAGCATGGATCCGATCCTTCCTGCGGGGATCGTCGGCTTTCTTTACAACTTACCTTTTCTTGGAGGGGGTCCGGTGTCACCCCGTATAGGTTGCATGCCTGTGATCCCTGCAGGATGGATAGGATCTGCGGATTGGGGAGCATAATGGAGATAATGCAGATCCGAACCATCCTGCGTGGATTGTCGGCATGCAACCTATACGGGGTGACACCAGACCCTCTCCAAGAAAGGGTACGTTGTAAAGAAAGCCGACGATCCCCGCAGGATGGATCGGATCTGCAGATTGAGCATAATGGATTGGAGTCCGATCCATTATGCTCAATCTGCAGATCCAATCCATTCTGCGGGGATCGTCGGAGGGAGTGTCACCAAGTGTTAGCGCACCGGGTGACACCAACCCTAGTGATGCCTCTGGTCAGATGTCTTGCAAATTGCAACTGAAATCGGCAGGTCACCCGATTTTGAAATCGTGCGACTTCACCGTAAGTCGCACGATTTCAAAATCAGCTTTGATGTGACCGGGGACTTCATGAACTTCATCCTGATGGAAACATGGGAGATGAGATGAGCCGACTTCAATTATTCAGAACAAGTAGAAATGGGGCGCTGGATGCAAATGATCAATAGATTGATCCGACTGCAGTAAGGCTAGGTTCACACCTATGCAGTTTGCGTTTGAGCTGTTTCTGAATTGTGTTGCGTTTTTGCTGTATTTTTGCTGCGTTTTGCATTATTTTATTATTTTTTATTGTTCTTGCTGCTAGGCAGATTTAAAACGCATCAAAAACTTGGCAAAAACGCAGCAAAAACTCACTACATGCTTTTCTGCAGCGTTTCCATTGAAGTCTAACGCAACTTTTTGCATTAAAAAAAGTCCATGACCCTTTCCAAAAAAATACACCGGGTGAAAACGCGGAGATGTGAACCTCTTCCATAGGAAATCATGTTAAATGGATTGTACTGCGTTTCTGCAAAACACAAAATGCTGCAGAAAACACTTACGTGTGAGTCTAGGATAAGGCATAGTGGCTCTGCTAAGGGTGCTCTTAGTTTCACACTACATGCGTTTCAGTTGCGTTTTTTCTGCATCCAAAAGGCACAGAAAGTAGGTTATATGGTTGTCTTTGTCATTGTTCACATCAGTACTTGCAGTTCCAGTGCGTTCCAGTTGCAGAAAAAAAAGTAGAACAGGCTGCATTTTTTCTGCACAGAACTGCACTGTGACGTGGTAAAATGCATCAAAAACGCAGCGAAATGCACCAAAAATGCACTGGAACGCACATGTCCCTTTTTAAATGTAAAAAGAAAGGAAAAGATTTACTGGAATGCATTAACCCCTCGTCTACAGGGCACTTATACCCCCTTCCTGCCCAGGCCAATTTCCAGCTCTCAACGCTGTCAAACTTTGAATGACAATTGCGCGGTCATGCAACACTGTACCCATATGACATTTTTATCATTTTCTTGTGACAGAGCTTTATTTTGGTGGTATTTAATCACCTCTGGGTTTTTTATTTTTTCTTAAACAAACCAAAAACCACTGAAAATTTTGAAAAAAAAAAGTTTTTTCTTAGTTTTTGTTGTAACATTTTGTAAATAATTGATTTTTCTCCTTCACTGATGTGCGCTAATGAGGCTTTAGTGATGGGCACTGATAGGCTGCACTGATGGACACTGATAGGTGGCACTGATGGGCACTGATGAGGAGGCACTGGTAGTTGGCACTGATGGGAATTGACAGGCATCACTGATGGGCACTGAAAGGCAGCACTGATATATGGCACTGATAGGCGGCACTGACTGACACTGATAGGCGGCACTGACGTGCACTGATAGGCAGCACTGATGCACACTGATAGGTGGCACTGATAGGCGGCACTGATAGGCAGCACTGATTGGCAGCACTGATAGGTGGCACTGATTGGCATTGATAGGTGGCACTGACTGGCACTGATGGGTGACACTGAAAGGCAGCTCAGATGGGCAGTGATATGTGGCATTGATGTGCACTGGTAGGCACTGATATGTGGCATTGATGTGGCATTGATGAGCACTGGCATGTGGCACTGTTCAGCACTGACAGCTGGCACTGATGGACACTGACAGGTGGCACTTCTGGGGCCACACTGATCATCAGGGCACACTGATCATCAGTGCCCTGATGATCAGTGTACATGTCCCCTCCGCGGAATGCCGATTACCAGCTCTCCTCTCCTCTGTCAGCGTGACAGCTCGTGAGGAGAGAAATGCCGATAACCGGCATTTCCCTGTTTACAGGTGATCAGCAGTGATTGGACACCGCTGATCACATGACCGAGCTGACATCTTCGGCTCTTTCCGTTGATCGGTGATCCGCTGTGTCCGAGGGACACAGCACACCGCCTATCGCCACGCTGCGCGCGCTCCCTGAGCCGCGCATGCGCGGTGAGAATGGGAGGACGTCATATGACATCCTCCAGAACGAGAGCACCACCTTGTGCCCATCATTGGACTATATGGCGGGCGGGAGGTGGATAAAAATGCACTGGAATGCGTCAAAAATGAATCAAAAACACATCATAAATGCGCATGCAAAAACGCATCCGTAGCGCATCTGGACTGCATTTCTATCGTGTGAATCGGCCCTTAATCAAGACTCGGTGTTCCTAAAACAGGGACTCCAGATTGGAAGATTGACCTGTATAAAGTACAATACAAATGGGTCTGAGAATCCAAAAGCTTTAATACTGAAAGACAACAAAGTACATTCTACACATTATGGGGGTTCAAAAGTCACCCCTTTCTCCTCCCGAAGCTTAAAGCAGTATTAAACCCAAAAGCAAACATTTATTATATTGCAGCTTACCAATTCTTACGTGTGATGGCTGCATTAGTTTTCTTTTTAGTCTTTCTTTCTTCTATTTTCATCTGGTGAAGCAAGCAGGGTCGATGCTTCCACTAGGCAAACTAGGCTGCCACCTAGGGGCGCCTGGGCGCAGCAAAGGCCGACACTCTCTCTCTGTGGGACACACATCATGAATGATCGTTCAGCTGAGAGGAGGGTTGGCAGAGGGGAGGAAGAAAGGACAGAGGAAGATGCCGGGTGTCTGGGTCCAGTGTAGCAGCTGAGCTGCCGATCCTTCCAGTGTTCCTCTCAGACTCAGTCTCTTACTGCAAGCTGGCAGGCGGCTGCTGATCACTGTGGCGTTCCAGCCCTTCTCTTCTCATTCGTCAGCGGAGGCGGAGCTGCGGAGGAAGGTAATGTTTGACTCTGATGTCTGTGTGAGTGTGACCCGGCCGGCCATCCATCACATGTGCAATGTGTCAGTGAGTGATGACATCATCACGGTCCCACAGCCTGCTCTTCTAGTGCCTGCTGGTCTGTGTCAGTGTTGGTGGTGGAGTGTGTGTGTTGGAACTGTCACTGTGTGGGATTGCTCAGTTCAGCTGTCTGCTGTCACAGCGTTTTATTTCCCCCATTGCCTGGGGAATTCCAGCCTGAGATCTGTCAGAGTGTGGATCCATCATCCTCCACTCACTGCAACTATCACCCTGCCACTGCCAGCCACACATACAGTCCGTGACACTGACTTTAATACTGGTTTTAAAAAAACATTTTCTTTTTTTGTGGGGCAGTGCAAGTAGCTGGTCTTTCCACTTTCCTAGGGCGCAAAATAGTCTAGCAGCAGCTCTGCCAGCAAGTAGATGTTTTTTAAAAGCTGACTCTCTCCAGCAGAATGTATCAGTTTACATGGCTGAGACAATCCATTTACCACTGACAGGGGTGCTTACAATGATCAGCTTTTATTTATTTATGCAAAACCTTTGCCCTCCACAGGTGACAGGTGTGATGGGGCCCTCAGTGGGTGACAGGCGTGATGGGGCCCTCAGTGGGTGACAGGCTTGAGTGGGCCATCAGCGGGTGACAGGTGTGATGGGGCCCTCCGTAGGTGATAGGTGTGATGGGGCCTCTCGTAGGTGATAGGTGTGATGGGGCCCTCCGTAGGTGACAGGTGTGATGGGGCCCTCTGTAGGTGACAGGTGTGATGGGGCCCTAAGTAGGTGACAGGTGTGATGGGGCCCTCCAGAGGTGATAGGTGTAATGGGGCCCTCAGTAGAACACAGGTGTGGTGGGGACCTCAGTAGGTGACAGGTGTGAGTAGGCCTTCAGTAGGTGACAGGTGTGATGGGGCCCTCTGTAGGTGACAGGTGTGAGTAGGCCTTCAGTAGGTGACAGGTGTGATGGGGCCCTCAGTAGATGACAGGCGTGAGTGGGCCTTCAGTGGGTGACAGGCATGGTGGGGCTTTCAGCGGGTGACAGGCGAGATGGGGCCCTGCATGGGTGACACGCGTGATAGGACACTCAGTAAATTACAGGTGTGATGGGGCCCTCAGTAGGTGACAGGTGTGATGGGGCCCTCAATAGGTGGCAGGTGTGATGGGGCCCTCTGTAGGTGACAGGTGTGATGGGTCCTCAGTAGAACACAGGTATGGTGGGGTCCTCAGTAGGTGACAGGTGTGATGGGGCCCTCAATAGGTGGCAGGTGTGATGGGGCCCTCTGTAGGTGACAGGTGTGATGGGGACCTCAGTAGAACACAGGTATGGTGGGGTCCTCAGTAGGTGACAGGTGGATGGGGCCCTCCGTAGGTGACAGGTGTGATGGGTCCCTCTGTAGGTGACAGGTGTGATGGGGCCCTCTGTAGGTGACAGGTGTGAGTAGGCCTTCAATATGTAACAGGTATGATGGGGCCCTCAGTAGATGACAGGCGTGAGTGGGCCTTCAGTGGGTGACAGGCATGGTGGGGCTTTCAGCGGGTGACAGGCGAGATGGGGCCCTCCATGGGTGACATGTGTGATGGGGCCCTCTGCGGGTGACACGCGTGATAGGACACTCAGTAAATTACAGGTGTGATGGGGCCCTCAGTAGGTGACAGGTGTGATGGGGCCCTCAATAGGTGGCAGGTGTGATGGGGCCCTCTGTAGGTGACAGGTGTGATGGGGCCCTCAGTAGAACACAGGTATGGTGGGGTCCTCAGTAGGTGACAGGTGTGATGGGGCCCTCAATAGATGACAGGTGTGATGGGGCCCTCCGTAGGTGACAGGTGTGGTGGGGCCTCCCTAGGTGACAGGTGTGGTGGGGCCCTCTGTAGGTGACAGGTGTGATGGGGCCCTCAGTAGGTGACATCTGTGATGGGGCCCTCAGTAGGTTAAAGGTGTGATGGGGCCCTCAGTAGGTGACAGGTGTGATGGGGCCCTCAGTAAGTGGCAGGTGTGATTGGGCCCCCAGTGGGTGACAGGTGTGATGGGGCCCTCGGTGGGTGATGGGGCCCCCAGTGGGTGACAGGTGTGATGGGGCCCTCAGTGGGTGACAGGTGTGATGGGGCCCCCAGTGGGTGACAGGTGTGATGGGGCCCTCGGTGGGTGATGGGGCCCCCAGTGGGTGACAGGTGTGATGGGGCCCTCAGTGGGTGACAGGTGAGATGGGGCCCTCAGTGGGTTAAAGGTGTGATGGGGCCCTCAGTGGGTGACAGGTGTGATGGGGCCCTCAGTGGGATAAAGGTGTGATGGGGCCCTCAGTAGGTGACAGTTGTGATGGGGCCCTCATTAGTGACAGTTGTGTGATGGGGCCCTCAGTAGTGACAGGTGTGATGGGGCCCTCAGTGGGTGACAGGTGTGATGGGGGCCCTCAGTGGGTGACAGGTGTGATTGGACCTTAGTAGGTGACAGTTGTGATGGGGCCCTCAGTAGTGACAAGTGTGATGGGGCCTTAGTGGGTGACATGTGTGATGGGGCCCTCAGAGGGTGACAGGTGTGATGGGGCCCCCAGTGGGTGACAGGTTCTCATTATGACAGCTGTCATGCCTGTGTCCCTCCCCCCATCAGTACAATGACAGTGCTTTACACAGTGAGGGGTCCGTCCTGGACCGGAGGACGGAGGACAGAAGACGGAGGACCCCCGCACTCCGCGTCCCCGGATGGAGGGAAATCCTCCTACAAATAACAGGTGAGGGGGGAGGGGCAGCCATTACTGAGGGAGGAGATCAGAGAGAGGTGTGTACACGGGGGGCGGGGACACGGGAGGAGGAGGAGCGCCGTCGCTGATCACACCGGGAGAGCTGGAGATCACACACACCGGGGGTCGGAGCTTGTACCGGAGAGGGGGGGGCCCTCAGGGGTTAACAGTGATGATGGGTCCTCGTACCGCACAGATCGGAGGAGGAGATCGGACAGGTGAGATGCGGAGGGTGAAGGGCCGCATTGGGGGTCACACAGGACTGTACAGAACCGGCTGATGGCGGGGTGAGCGGGTGGGAGGACAGTTGGCGATGAGGACAGTGGAGGTGTGAGAGCAGAGGGGCTGGTGGTGAAGCGGGGGGTCATGAGGCCCTGGGAGAGGGGGCCCTCAGTATGGGGGGGCTATGATTGGAAGTGGAGAGAGGAGTATGGGGGGGGGGGGGGGGGGGTGTATGATTGGGAGAGTATGGGGGGGGGGGTGTATGATTGAGAGAGGAGTATGGGGGGGTGACAGGTGGTGTATGATTGGGAGAGAGGAGTATGGGGGTGGGGGGGGTTGGTGTATGGATTGGGAGCCCCTCAGTAGTGACAGGTTGTGGAGGGAGTATGGTGGGGGGTGTGTGGGGCCCTGCATTGGAGCGGAGATTGAGGAGTATGGGGGTAGGGGACAGGGGGGTGTAAATGTGATGAGGAGTGGAGTATGGGTGGGGGTAATGATTGGGCAGAGGGGCCCAGTATGGGGGGGGGGGGATCGTGTAGTGATGGGGAAGACGGAGGACCCCGTATGGGGGGGAAATCCTGGATGATGGGGGGAGGAGAGGGAGTATGGGGGGGTGGTGGGGAGGGGGTGTATGGGAGAGGAGGAGTATGGGGGGGGGGGTGTATGATTGGGGAGAGGGGGGATTCTGTAGAGGAGTTATGGGGGGGGGGGGTATGGTTGGGAGAGGAGTATGGGGGGGTACAGGTATGGGCTGATGATGAGTGGGAGAGGGAGTATGGGGGGGTGAGGTGGGGGTTATTATGGAGTGGAGAGAGAGGAGGGGCTTATGGGGGGGAGTGGATTATGGGGGGGGGTGTTATGATTGGAGGAGTATGGGGGGGGGGTATGATTGGAGAGGAGTTATGGGGGGATGATTGAGGAGCGCGGGGAGTATGGGGGGGGGGTGGAGTAGTGTGGGAGAGGAGTATGGGGGGGGGGGAGATTGATTGGGGAGGTGGTATGGGGGGGGAGGGGGGTTGGGAGTGGAGAGTTGGGGAGAATGGGGGGTATGGGGTAGGGAGGAGGATATGGGAGTGGGGGGTATGGGTGGGGTTGGGAGAGGAGTATGGGGGGGGGTATGATTTGGAGAGGAGTATGGGGGGGGGGGTTTTGGGTTGGGAGAG